ACGCGTTCACAGTTGCATGCAAACACGCGATTTACTAAAATTAAGCTTGTTGGGGATTCCCCCAATTTATTAATGTAAAATTTATATCTTAAACCGTTATATGTACTGCGATATACGTTTCGTTTGCTTCTCACGCGAAATGCTCGATAAGTTCGGAACCGCCGGAAAAAGCCGAGCCGCGCCGAAGGCGAGCGCGCGTCAGCATCCCCACGCGGCTCGCCCGACCGCCGGCCTCCCTTCCAACGAACTCGCCGCGCCGCGGTATATAAGCCGGCGCTCCGACAGGAGCCGACACTTCGTCTTATCTCCGGCTCTCTGCTGCCTTCGACGAAGCCTACCCTATCCAACTTCCTAGGGCGACACATAAAACGAGGTCCGGTGCTCCGAGTCTCGACTGAGTACTCTCAGGTGTCCCCGAACTCCAGCCTACCAAACCGACGATCACGATTCCGCGGGGTCGAGCACGCTCGGTCTCGTTGCGAGCCCTCTTGCTGTCGTGACCCCGGTGCTTAATTCGCTTCCTGCCGTAGATACCTACCGCGTCTCTGTAGGCATCGGACGTTAGACCGCGTTTCGCAACTCCGTCACACCGCGACAATTGCATCCGCGATACCGTCTATCGTTTTTACCGCTTTTCATTGCGCATTTATGTAAAATCGCACTTCAAAATTACGCATACTACAAGTCACAGCGCGCCGAGTGCATTCGCACTAATTTTTCTGTACATCTCGCGTTTCGTCAGATTTGTTTTGTTATATCGAATAAAGTTTATATGCATTGTAAATCAATTGCTGTCTTTTGGGCCTTCCACTCAACTTCCTAACAAGCGATCGAGTCCGCGGTTAACTGAAACCCCGGTCGTCTCATAGTTGAAGGGCTGAACGAAGCCACTCGCAATTATCTCGCGTTCTCGCGGAACGGATTCGGCGATTTGTTCGGCGCGTTTATTGCGCGCCCGAACAAAGCTAAATTTTTTTTATTTTAGTAAATTTTTTCTCAGTGTATATATGTATATCATGTATTGGATATATATATATATATATATATATATATATGCAATGTCGGAAGTGTAAGGCATATTATATATAATGCGTATTATAATGTATACACTGTGACGTTGCGGTTTCGCCGCGGCGTGGCAGCGCTCCGCCGCCGTCACAAGGCGCGGATTGCGCGCCCGAGGACGACTCACGAATCAACCTTCGATCTCCAGGGGCGTATTAAAGTGCGGTTCAAATATTCATTATTGTTTTTTTTTCTTGCGATATTGCGTGGCGCCTCACCCCGTCGAGTTGGAGTTCCAACGCCACACTGAAGATGACGAGGAGTACAAGGGGAGCCGGATGATAAACGGAATCACAAGGACCGAAAGCGAGATGTCGAGGGCGAGGAGCCCGAGTTACGAGGACCGCTACTAAGCGAGGGACGACGTGAGACGCGCGCGCTGCGCGCCAGCAACGGCAGGCGAACCTGTGCATCGCAGGGGCCCGGCGCCGGGCCTGTCTGCAGTCCTCCGAGGCCAGACGGACTCTGGGGGTGGATGGCCACCGCCTCCGAGTCGAGCCAGAGGACACCGCGGGAGTCATCGCCTTGCCTACTACAACGGGGAAACCTGGAAGGACCCCGCGAGCGCGAAGGGCACGTTCGAACGCCCCGCCGAATCCACGGTCGATAACCCTGCGAGCGGCTCCCTCGCGAGCTTGCGAGCTCATCGCCAATTGGTCCGCTTATCGCGCGGAAGGGTCGCGCATGTCCCGCTAGGGGCGTTAGATCGACGCCTCTATCGAGCGCACTTCCGCGATCTTTCTTGAGCCACCCTCGGGACGACACGCACGGCTTTCTTGAGCGCTTCTCGACCGACTCTTGCTGCGCACTTGGTGCCTGATTCTCTCGCGACGGTTTTTGGTGACGGCGGAGAGGACAACCCCGACCGAGGAAGTATCTTACCGGTGAGGTTGCCTCGTAATAGACGGTAGTAATGTAAGCCACGACACCGCCCTCCGGGCCACGCTCTCGCCTAAAGTACTCGCGTAATTGAGATCTCGTAATTTTGCATCTGCGATCGAGAGCGAGAGCGAAGGGCTTGGGAATGGTCTCGTGGCCGGTGAATAGTACTCATCGCATGAAGGTCCTGGAGATCGCGATAGATATCTCGATTCGGTAATTCGCGAACATTCTTACGGTATCTGTGGTCGCGATCGCGTATTACCCGGCGGTGCGTCACGCGCGACTCTCGTGATCGTAGTTTATTCGTCGAGAATGATTCTTTCGCGTTACGCCGTTTCAGTAATCTCGTGTGCTTGCGGTCAACTTCGCGTTTTCCTCGTGTAGATATTTTCCCCTGCGTAGATTTAGTTGTACATTGCGTTAGTATGTAAGTTCGTCATCTCTTGCGTTAGATTTAGTTTATTTCGCGTTAGTCTGCCAGTCCGTCAAGACATTATTGCGTTGTGTAGTCTCGCGCTGGTTTAGCGCTATTCTCCTCGGAGAATACTCTTTCTTTCGCGTTGAATTAAGTACTCTTTTGCGTAGGGCGTATGTCCCGTAAAAATTCGTTAGATTGAGTACGATATTCTTCTCGCGCTGATGATTTCTTCGGCGCGATAAAACCTAAATATTTCGCGTTACCTGTCGCGTTCGGGCTTGATTATTGACCCGTCGTTGTGTTATATTGCGCCTCGTATTTCGTGGATACGCTATCCTGGCGACAGAATTCTGAACAATCGCGACCCTGCGTACTGTCTGGAGTAAACTTGGCGTCTGAGATCGCGAAAAATTTTGACTTGTTTTCGGAGTTATTATTTTCCTGGTTGTAGCGATTTTTGATTTATTCTTTCACGCTCACGATTATTCACGCCTATATGATTTCGCTTTTGTGAGAGATGAATCAGCGGTTCTTTAATTTATTAGAGCAATCTCGTGAGCTAATTGTTTTTTTTTCTTTGCAATAAATGTTAATCTCTTTTGTTATTAATTGTTTGAGTTCGTAATTTCTGTGTCGCCCGTCACAATTCGCGCTGCCCTATACCACCTTCGTCCCTGAGTAATACGCCGAGCTGGTCGATTTCTCGCACGCCGTTTAATTACGATAAACGTTTGGATAATTTGTGATAAATTTCGCGTTAGTGGACGCGGGATACCGCGTCTGGCGCCCAACACTCACGTTCGCGTTAGAAATTCGGTTCGTGCGAGAGATCCGTCGGAGAGGCCTGACATCCTACTCTCCCGCAACTCCCTTTTGATCCGGCTTTGCGCCCGAACGGGTAAAAAGTCGTGACAACACATACACATATATACATGCACGCAATTATATGTATGAGTATGTATACATTGCATGTATATATACGCATTATGTATTATGAACATAGAGGTTCTGGGTGTTAGCATTTTTATTTCACCAAAAATGAATAATGTAAAATACACAAACTTTTATTTTATATATATATATATACATATATATATATACTAGAAATATCCAATGCAATGTTACGGAATAATAAAAACGGGCCTCGGTTGTATGCGGTGCTCTCAGCGCACACGTACACGGTACGCTGAAGGAAATCATTAACATCAGCAAGAAACCGAAAGCGCCGTCACTCACAGTGTTCTTGACGGGCGCGGCCGCGCGTGACGCTGAAAGGGCAAAGAACGTTCTCTGCCGGCTGGAGCACACGACGTTGAAAAAGGTGACGGCGAACACGGCGATATACTACGATCCTGATCCGCAGAACACTGTAATCGCGGAGGACCAGGAGTTCGTCAACGTTTACTACGAGATGCCCGACTTTGACCCCACGAAAATATCGCCGTGGTTGCTGCAAATTGAACTGGACAGAAAGCGGATGACTGACAAGAGACTAACGATGGAGCAGATCGCGGAGAAGATCAACGCCGGCTTCGGCGACGATCTGAACTGCATATTCAATGATGACAATGCCGAGAAGTTGGTGCTACGTATTAGAATAATGAACAGCGACGATAATAAGTTCCAGGACACGGATTGGGAGACTGTAGATAAAATGGAAGACGATATGTTCCTTCGGTGTATCGAAGCCAACATGCTCAGCGGCATATATATATATATATATGCAATGTCGGAAGTGTAAGGCATACATGTAATGCGTATTACAATGTATACACATACACATATATTATATAAAGTAATGTTACAAAACTATATGTTTTGAATATTGAGAAAATAGAATGGGCCCCTCCAACGCCCATTCCCGTGAGAACGCAACCAATATATATTTTTCCGTCTCTCCGATTGTAATTTACAATTGATACATTTGTAATAATCAGTACCGTCAGAATAGACGCTTCTGGGATTTTATTTTGTCAGTACCGTCAAAATAGACGCTTCTGACATTTTATTTTGTCAGTACCGTATATTAGAAATGTAAATTATTTTTTTTACTGGCGTGACGTGAAAAACATTTATTGTCCGGGAAAAGGTGACAATTCATATTTTTCTATAATATTCCAAAAATGACATCTCATACGTTCTACGTCATTCGAATATTTTTCCTCACAAGGATTTCCTCCTAAGGCTACAGTTGTAGCGAAAGCGGCAGCATAAATTCCGCAAGATATAGCGTCCGGTTGTCTTTGGACTTTTTCAAAAATTATATCACTTACGTTTATTTTTGGAAAACGTTTGCGAATATAATTTTTCTCCTGTTCTGCCAATTTTTTGTATGTACAGCCAGGTTGGCTATCATACACATGAAGTTTCAAACCATCAAAGTAAATACATCGCCAGTGACCAGTACAAGTCCCTCCAATGATTTGTAAGCTTTTGTTACTGTCACTAGCTATAATCAGGTCGAGATAATTTATGTACTGAACGCTTTGCGTTTCAAAACATGTAGTTTCTCTTATGACACGTAAAAAAAAATCTAATGATTCATCACTTACTTCGCTATTTGTGGGCAAGACATTCTCTCGTATTAAATGAAGAGGAGCAATTACATCATCCAGACACTTCCTACGTCTTGCTATATCATCTTTAGTTAAATTATAGCTATTGTCATAACTGATTATGATGCAATCATCATCTTGCTGTGCATCTGTAACAGCAGCAGATGGTGCTTTTGTTGAAAAAACGTCACATTTTAAACGTTTGTTCTTTGGAACAAATTCTTCTAAATTTTCCCTTTCAATACTACTTTCTCTGCTATTTGGCGGACTATTTGTTTTTATACGCGCTTCTTTAGCTTTTTTAGCTTCTATTATATATTGTGGATTTCTTATTGCCATATGTCTATTATAGCGGCTGTCCAAAATTTCTGGAAGCATGCATTCATAATAGAAACGTGTTAGGAAAGGCAGCATTTGATTTTTCCAAAAAACATCGTCTCTTTTCACTTCCCATGTTTTTATACTTTCCGGTGTCCATATGGCAAAAATGCAATAATCTCGCTACGTTATGTTTAACTGGCCTTGAATTTGATAAAAAAATCGATGATTTCGATTCATTTTATTTGCATTCTTTTTATCGAATATGGCCTTCAATTGAGACACTGTTTTGACAGCCACATCAGCTGTTAACTTTTCAGCTGACAAGAGACATTTTATCTCTACTAAACCGTCTTCATCAATAAGTCCATCCGGAGAAGCACTCAAGAACGGATTCTCATAATCAATGAACAATCCGCATGGTGTGATCTTTTTGTTCAGTTTTACAGCCAACTCGTTTCTGGCAACTTTTTCGTTCTCGCGACCATATTTCGTGGCTGCATTGTCGATGAACGAAGAATACAAAATGCTTTTTATAATCGCTGCGCAAGACGTTGCTGGTCTCATGCGACAGACAGCTCCAAAGTTGGATGCCGTTAACATTTCACGTCTCAATAATTGCCACAGTTCACATTCGTTTTGGCCTCTTGTCTCTTGTTCAATTTTGTCCCTGTTTTCTGCGTTGTCCAACAACTTTTGCTTATGATTTTGCTCAAGTTGTTGGTATACGTCAGCCGGAAGGTCTGGCTTTTGTGATTGCGGACCATAATAACAATCTGTTCCAGACCCTTGTTTAAATTTTTTGGGCTTGCCATGAATTTGTCGATAATTTTGAGTCATGGACACTTTTTTTTGTCGTCGTTTTTCTAAACTCTTGACAATTGGAGGAACATTTCCACACACGTTTTGGTGCACTTGCGTAAGAACTTGTTGCGTATTATACTGCACAACAGCTCCCGCAACTCTCGTATTATAAGAACCTCGTAGGCCCCAATTAATTCGCTTTCCACCTATTTCTTTGCAAATTATAGAATTAAACAACTCTGCAGGATTGTTTGTTAACTCTAACAACAAACTTTTGGAATAAGCGCTCAAGTACATGATAGCACTCTCAATTTTCTGATATAAACCGTGCACTTTTAAATATGGCACCCAATTTTTTGTTCCCTCACGGTTTTCTTCGCATGTACGACCACGTTCCTTACATCTTTTATGCTCACCAAAAACGTGGCTAGGAATGTTCAAGATATCTTTCTGCAATTCCACACCTTGCTTATGGCAAGGTTGTTTTTCTTCTCTTCGTGATTTGGCTGCATCCAGCACTTCTTGCCGTATTTTTGGAATACCGCTTCTTACAACATTTCGTAGCTGTACAAAGCCACGCTTTCTACGTTGTTTTGGCTGAACTGTCTCTGCCACGGCTCTTAGCTTCTTGCATAAATTGCGAAGCAAATGATTCGTGCATTCTATTTTTTTAACAGTTACCATTTGTTCGGAATAGGGTGCGTTATTCTTAATGGACTGATATACGCTGCTATCGCCATCGGCAATAACCGTTTTATATATTAATCCATGCATTTCAAGGCTACATTTAAAGCCTTCTACAATGGCGTCGCTTTCCATACTTGTGGAGCTGGCCCTGCGGTCAAAATTTTTGTAGCACTTGTGCCTATTTGGCTCGAGACCTTTTCGCTCCGCCATGTCACACACCGTGCAAAATTTGTTACGGATACCAACAAAAAGGACTTTCTTCGTGCGATGACCAAGTATAGCACCAACACCGGAAAGTGAATCGTAAGCGTGGCCGTACGACCTTTTCATCCAACGACCATCCGCTACAACTGTTATATATGAAATGCCATTTATAGTTTCATTCCTCTCGAGGGCAAGTTGCTTTTCAAGCTCGCCTGCCATTATCATACTTTCCATGGCTGTTTTTTCAAAATAATCGATAACATTTTCTCGACTTTTTATGTACGTCTTTTCAGACATACAAGGAACATTTATACCCGCACAGAACTCTTCCAGTTGGGCATAACCACTCCCTACTGTTATAGTTGCGGCTACTGCACTATTATTAATATCTACATTTTCTGCGGATTCTGTGGGTTCTGACCATATGTTGTCTTCATAATTGCACATTTGGCATTTGAAGAACAACTGCGTCAGCAACCCACAACGACGAGAATTTACAAGTTTCCAATCTTTAAATTGGCACTCGATTCCTCGCGCATGGTTGTCAAAAATTCTATGGATCTCGTTCCACATAAAAGATATGTCGACAATGCGACGTCCTTCAGGCAGATTTTCTTGGATACGATTTGCATCCATAAGGCCTTCATTATCAATAACGAGATTTTCGAGATTATCCTCGCTATGTGGAACTTTTTCTACAAACATACCTTGTATATTTTGCTCCATAGCCTTGCACTGCATTACCTCGGTACTGATATTCGAATCTATCTTGTCGCACATTGTTTCCACTGACTCGACATATTCTATGGACTCGTTTTCAGTTACGTTGGTAAGCTCTGTATCTCTCTCCAGCTTCAATTGCTTTATCTTTGCCACCTGCCGCCTGCAAAAATAAATAAACATATAATATCGAAATGCATTTTTTAAATATTACCTCGACAAAGATATTATTTTATACGAGAACAATTCTTTGCTTATTTATTTCATTATTTCAAACTTATCATAAACGTTGAAATATTATGTCTACAACAATTAATATATCTAAAGTTAAGTACAGCCAAAACGTCTCCGGAAATTAAAGTAACCAGCTCACGATGAACGCATCTGGCACTTATTACAATTAAACAGCTCACGATAAACGCCTCTGAAAATTGTAATAGCCAGCTCACGATGAACGCATCTGGTACTTATTACAATTAAACAGCTCACAATAAACGCCTCTGAAAATTGTAATAGCCAGTTCACGATAAACGCCTCTGACAATTTAAGTAACCAGCTCACGATAAACGCATCCGGTCTACTTATTACAATTAAACAGATCACGATTAACGCCTCTGAAAATTGTAGTAGCCAGCTGACGATGAACGCCGCTGAAAATTTAAGTAACCAGCTCACGATGAACGCATCTGGTACTTATTACAATTAACCAGCTCATGATGAAGCCTTTGATATTATTTTTACAATTTACTAACTACTTTCTTACTACTAACGTTTAAAAAATTAAACATATGTTTTTTTTATTTACATATAAAGCTTTATTTTGTTAATTTTTAATATTGTCCGATGTACACGCTCCGAATGAATCGTGATCTACGTAATGGTGTTAAGGATTA